AGCCTGTAGGGGTCCTTTCTGATTTACAACATGACACTAAGGTGAAGCTTAAGCACCTCCTTTGAGTCACCATAAAATTACAGGGCAGAACCACAGCACTCTTTCCCTGAGTCAACAACCACAACTGCACTTCTGTTAGGAAGGTATCCAGTGATTCCTCAGACAAATTCTCCCTCATTGTCCTTTTCATACAATCACATGTACTAAACAAAACGTGAATCTCAGTATTGACCATCGATAAAGTTCTCCCAAAGAGAATCATTGTCAACTAATTGGAACTACAGAACACAGCACAGACTCATTTTTGCACTCGTTGCTAATAGGACACTGAATACAAGTCAAGGTTTCTCTCTGTGTTCCACCTGCTACCAGTATGTGTGATCATCTGCAAGACTCTGACTAATGAAAGCAGGAGAAACCCTGCAGGGAGGAAGGGGCAGTTTGACAAAAGCACACACAGAGAGATGTGGTGCTGAGTGCCACATGGAGTTACCAGCACCACATGGAGTTAGTTACCAGCACCACATGGAGTTAGTTACCAGCACCACATGGAGTTAGTTACCAGCACCACATGGAGTTACCACTTGTCAGGGCCTCTTGACAAACATTTAGAAGACTAGGGAAGGGCTTAGTCAACAAGCAACATGCCTGGAATGCTCCTCTTCTGGTTGTTAGTCTGCATGTCCAGACTGAAAACAAGTCCCCATGGCCCATCTGTTGGCAAGGAGAGGAAGTAACATTAGTCAGTCTCTATGAGGGTGGCAGTGGGCACCTGAAAACTAGCTTTTACAGCTTTGCCAAACCTAGGAATCGCAGTGCTTATTTGGACAGAAGAGAACTCCAGTACTTGTAGAAAGCTTTATTGACATTGAATCGTTGATTCAAAAGAGAAATAAATGTGAGAAATGGGGCCATTTCAGATACAACACAAGTACTGTGATTTTAGTTAAAAACAAGTTTGCCTTAGGAATTCTAGCACTCTGAAAATAGTTCTAAAATCCCTCCATGACCTTGTCCTTTCGCATTAAATTGCAAGAGAATTGTGATTTTAAAAAGAAAAAAAAAAAAAAAAGCAATGTGAGCTCTTTCCTTATTAACTTGGCATCTTAGTTTTTAGTATAAAATCTCTTTGATTAAAGACATGAAAAACATTAGCATTGGAAAGGAATTTTAGAGATAATCAGAGTAGCCATTTCATTTTATGGATGTAAAGAGTAGGGCTGTTGAGCTAGCTGCTCAGGAACTCCCACGCTGTCACAGCAGGTGAAGCCTTGGAATCCAACTCCTCAGACTCCCAATTGTCATCTTCTGCCACACAGTTCTGCTCATGGTATTACAAAGACTTCCTTGGGGGGATGGTATGGGTGTGACTATGGTGTGATATGTACATATCTTGTATTTGCATGTGCATGTGTACACACTGGTGCGAGCACATTTAGAGGCCAGAGAAGGACTGGGTGTCTTGTATCACTCTTCACCTTATTCTTTGAAACAGTGTCTCTCACTTGAACCTGGATCTAGGTTGGTGGCCAAAGCCCCAGTGATCCTCCTGTAACTGCCTCCACCACCATAGTATTGGGGTTCTAGGCACTCACCAGACTTTTACATGGGTCCTGGGGTCTGAACCTGGGTCCTCATGCTTGTGCAGCAAGTGCTCTTAACTCATTGAACCATCTCTCCAGCCCCTCAAAAGAAGTTCTCAATGATAAAATTTACTTTCACAATTGTTCCTCATGGTGCTGATAGTATAAGAATAATATAATAGTACCTTAAACATTACAAATCACTGCCAACCATACAGCCTTTTTTGATTAAAACACTGAGAAGTGAACAGCACAGTCATGACTAGACCCATTTCACAAATGTGGCAACTGAGCTCAGAGAGATTATACAATTTGGCTAAAATCATGCAGAAACTGTCGGTTCTGAATTTTAGTTTATTTTTGTATCATCAATCATAAGTCTGTGGTTTCCACAAAATTCTAACATAATAATTGTCTACTTTACACCTGAACTTGATGTTTTATTCATCTCCACATGGGAAAAAAAACCCAAAGATCATCCATGTGCTTATTTTCAGATATGTCTGTGAATTTTATTATGAGAGAATGGTACTGTGTACTGAAATTAACAGCCAGAAGCTACAGAATTCAAAGTACAATATGACCCTGCTTTTCATTTTCTTGTCGTGGATTGGATGCTTTGGGGTCAAGGTTTAGGTCCACACAGATTTAGATACGGAATAGAAGCAGCAGGGTAATGACTTACAGGTGTGTCTCTCCAGCCCCTCTCCTGCTTCACTTCCCAGGGTTCTGCCTCCCTCACACTCCTTGTACCCCTACTCATCCTCCCACAAAGGAACCCTCATCTGCTCTGTAAACAGTAAAATAGTTTGCAACAGCCAGGCCTTGACACAAGACTAGCTCAGCCTCTGGCATCTCCTGCTCTTACCTTCAATATACTCCACTTGGCCATATTAATTTCTGTTACAGGGGGGAGATTGGTCAGTGAAATCTAAATGGGCTTTTCCTATTTATTGATACAATTTCGTGGCAAGAGCAATTTTCAGAGCTTATTTTCCACTCCATTGAATCCCGTGTTACTGCAAATGAATATATTCCTCGGTCAGTGCAATGGCAAAACACAGTTGTAAGTGCTTTATGCTTCATTTGGATAAAGAGTTCAGGATATTACCAAATATAAAAAGAAGTTAAGGGCCATATTTCATTAGGAAGCTGTCTCCCCTGTTAATAAAACGTGATGCTGGTATTCTGGCTGGTATTCAATAAGGCAGCACAGTAGCTGTCCACAGCACCTGAGGAGTACACCGCTCCTCCAGTCAGCCAACACCTATGCACCAGCCCAGGGAGGAGGAAGAGACTGATAGTGGGATGCAAAGCTAAATGTTTCACAGAAAATTGAAAATTCCACCCTCAGGCCACAGTATATCTTTCTTTAGGAGTTGGCTTTGCCACCATAAAGGAAGACAGATGCTAATATGGCTGAGGGCAGAAGCCATCAGGTCAGCCTGTTGTGGACTCCTGTGCTTCGGTTTTAAAAATGATGTCATGGATGGGCTTCCTGTATTTTGTCTGTTTACCGGGTATAGAAAAAGGTAGTATCATCTAATTTCTCAAGTGGGAAAACTCAGGTGCAGCCATAGGCAGCCCTGGGAGCTGCTTTTTGCAAGAACTAGGTCACTCTCCTGGTGCAGGCCCCTCAATGCAGCAAGAAAGAATGGAGATAGCACTCCTTTCTGCATTCGAGCTCAGAATGGCATCCTTTCTTCACCCGTATCTCTATAGTGAACAATGCACATCGTGATGTTCTCCTCATCACAAGTAGGTCACTTGAGCATGCCACCAGTGCTTTAGAAGCAAGAGGAGTTATTGGCTTTTACAAGTGGTACTAAGAATACCTCCAAATTCAGGGTATAAGCATTCCCTTTTATTAGTTACGTGGCTGATAAATGACAGCCCTTACTTTGGTTATAGTAAATGTCCTTCAACCTCCATGTCCAGATCAAGCATTTATCTTTTTCCCAGTTTTTCTCATTATCTTATTTTCAGGCAGATTCCTGGGTCTCCACATTTGTTAGATCTCCACATTTCTGTTTCCTGTCTCGAAGACAAGCTCTCACCCACATCTCCTTTCACAATGCTAAAGCTCTTGCATTTAATCAAACTATTTTTGTGTTACACAAAGAGTTCTGAGGCCTCCACAAAGGAGGAGCATCTATAGACTCTAGCTTCGTTGACTCAACTGCCTTATCTGCTCATATAAAGCAGACAGCTTCAAAGCAGACATAAGATGAACTATCCCAAGATTAGTCTCAGAGCACTGGGTATTACGGCAGAAAGCTCTGAAGCACTCTCCAAGCTGAAAGCCTACATGCTGCCTTATCCTTGTCTGAACTTGACTCCTTCCATTGGGTTTCATCTACGCATGGCTCTTGATGCTGAATATTGAGATCTATTTTATCCATGGTCCTGTCTGGGCCCTCTGCTCCAAAGACCCCTGAACACCAAGCTTGGCTTTCCAACTCTGGCACCAAGCCTGTGCTATGACCTCCAAGCCCTGAGTTCAGATATACCACCTAGGTACTCCCACTTACCAATTAAACATGTTTCCAAATTCTCTGAGCCTTCTTTTCCTCCTTTGTGAAATGAGAGAAATAATACTCACCTTCTAAGGCTGTTGTAAGAATAGCACTCTTTAAGAGTTCCAGTACCTAATAAGGACTCAAAATCATTTATATTTTTCTTCATTTTCTTATTTGTTCTATCTGGTTTTTGTTTAGTGTTTAGATATATTTGCTTATGCTAACTTTCTGACATTCTTTAATATAAGAGTCACAATTGATTGATCATAATTTAACCAGCACAATGATTTCCTCCTAGATTCCTCAAATGAGTTAGTATCAAATCTCATTCATAACTTAGATAGTGGTTACTGTTTGCGCCATCTTTCCCCAGCTAATATCCCATTTGATTTTTTATGTTTCCTCCTGAACTCATCCCTTATATGTTTCTCAGAAGGTGGTCAAAATCAAATTAAGATCTTCAAGGGAGAACAGTGGGTTTGACTTGCTGGTCTTAAGGCAGGAAGACTGTCTTTAGTTTTAAGTGTTCTGCTCAGGGTTCATGAATTCATGATTACATTGTTTGATTTTTTAATTCTCTAAATTGTTTTAAGGCTACAAATCTTCAGATTAAAGAGCTTCAATGAGCCTCAGATAAAATAAGCACAGTACAACCATACATAAATGGTCATTATATTGTTTAGGAATATCAATCTACCATCTAGCTGTCATCCATTTACACATATTTGCAAAAGCAAGGTTTTCCAAAATTTAAGATAGCAGTTACAGGCAGGGTGTGAGAAAGCTTCAAATACATTAGCAAATTCTTTTGCCCAAGTAAGGATATTTACTATTGAAGTTGTAATAATCACTGCCACATATTTACTCCTTGACAAGGCATAGGCCACTCTAAGTCAAATGTACTGCTGGGAGGCGCATATGGCATCCAATCCCCTCCTCCCATGGTCCTTGCGACAACCTGAGAAAAGAATTATTCAAACCTTGGTTTGAAGAATTTTAAGGAGTTTATTGGACTTGTTAACTGAGCTTGGGGTGCCCCCCCCGCTCCCATTCATAGCTGTGTTTGAAAGTCCACACCTAGACATAAATCCTGTGATTCCGGACAACCTCATAAAAATGGCAAGAGGTCAGCCTCATGGTTTTCCCAGCTTTTTTACCCTTAGCCCCTCTCCTACAAGTGACTACGGTCAACTGATTGGCTGGAAGAGGGAAAGGAAGTGGCTTCTTTTCAGAGTGTGGGAAGGAGGTGGGTCCATGGCTCATCATCACAGGGTCAGAGGAACATCCAGGTCATACTCCATCCCTTCTCTGGCTCTTACAAAACTTTCCACCCGCCTCTTCCGTGAATATCTCTGAGCCTCAAAGTGAGTGGGGCTACTTTTCTCCCATTGTAGTAGGGCATTGGACTCTTCAAGTCTCTGCATCCTCTGTTTGTCATGGCTGATGTCTCAATTTAGTGGCATTCCATCTACTATAAAAACACAAAGAGCAAGAAGCAAGAACATGTAAACAGTAACTGCTATAATAGCTTATGGGCATAAACATAAATGCTTGGATGGCACTTTAGTAGGTGCATCACATCCATTTGATAATACAAGTGCAGTGGCTTCTCCACTGGGGCCTATAACCTCTCCTGCCACAGGGGGGTGGCCTGGTCCACAATACCAGATATGTGTTCCATCCCTAGGAGTGGGCATTAGGTCCAACCAATAATTAGCTGATTGTACATACATTAGACGAGCCATTATTGCACAAGCAGGAACATCTTGCTTCACATGTTGATAGTGCAGCACACAGAGTCCTTTGTTGAACAGGATAATGAGGAACAATTTTCCATCTTCATAGCACCTTCTGGCACTATGAAAGCCACCCATCCAGTGGCAGGGAGTTTCCAGCTTAGTCCAAGATTGATTTCTCCCTCTCCCACACTCACACCATGCGGCGTCTTTGGCAATAGGGTCTTACCATCCATTTCAGGTATACAACCAACATTATTGACAATTGCCTTTATAGTTTTGGAGACTTCTGGGGTCCCTTTGGCCAACTGCTCACAGGGAGGCAACCCAACCCTGGTACTGGGATTTTCATTTAACAACCTTATGGCTTCTGGAAGGGCCTTTTTCCACCCCTGTAGGGTTCTTTCTGGGCTTAAGGCTTTCAATTGTTCCTCTATCAACCTGTTTTTTCTTTCAATTAACCCTGCTCCTGTAGGATTGTATGGAAGGTGGAAATACCATGGAACCTGATTATCCTCAGCCCAAGCTTGCACATCTGTACCTGTGAAACTGAGTGCCTCCATTGCTGTCAATTCACCTCGGGCACCCATACATGATACTGAGTTCAGTAAGCCCCTTAATAGTAGCCTTGCCTGTTGCTCTCTTGCAAGGAAAGGCCTGTGTAAGGCCTGTGGCAGTGTTCACACACATGAGAGCATATTTATACCCCTCACTGACTGGCAGGGGCCCTATATAATCTACTTGCCATTCTCTCACAGGGGAGGCTGCCTTGTGCACGTGTCCCATCATGGCATCCATCCTCTGGGGCTGTACCAGGAACACACCTCACAGGCCTGGACAGTCTGTTAGATGTCAGCATATTTTACTGGAATGCCAGCTGCTTTGGCTATTCTCCATCCCATGTCGACTCCTCTGTGGCCCGACTTGGTATGAACCCAGTGAGCTGCTTCTAGGGGAACCTGAGGGCAGAGAGCCCTCACCTTGGTGAGGGCATCAGCTACCTGATTCCCGGGAGGACTCACCAGGCAGTGGGCAGCCATATGGTAAACTACCAGGGGCACTAGCTCCTCCTGCATTTTATTATATGTGTCTTTCCAAAGTGGCCATCCAATCACCTGCCAGTTTTTTTTTCTTTCTCCCACTGAGCCATCTATAAAGTTAAGTCTTTGAACACAGCCCAACTGTCAGTACAAATTGTAACTGGCCAAGGCTCCCTCATTATTATTATCCATACAGCTCTCAGTTCAGCCCATTGACTGCTTTTTCCTTCTCCTCTCTCTAACCATATACATACAGTGTTCATCTGTATTGCCATTGCTACCCATTCCTGTCTGGCACCCCTGTTAGTGCCATCGGTATATCAGGCATTAGCCAGAATTGGGGGACGCCCTTCTAAGACTCAATCAGGTCTTGCTGGAGGGTCAACTATAGGAGGTGGAGGGAGAGGCTCTGTGCCTTTAAATGACATCAATCCTAGTACTGCTTACATGGCATTGGTGATCAAGTTTGCTGACACCACCCCTTGCTATTGCAAATATGCATGCCATCTTTGCAGCATTTGGTTTTGTGCCATCCCTGACAGGGGCTTGGCTAATAAGTCCTCCCCCATCCTTTTATCGGATATGCAGTTTTTACAGTAATGGGGGTGAGGCACGTAATGAATTCCATCTGTTGCAATGCTTTGTACATAGCCAGTAGTTGCTGTTCTAGAGCTGTGTACTGGGACTCTGCCCCTTTCCATGACTGGGACCAGAACCCAGTTGAGACCATCTGTTCCAGTTGCTGGTGCCACAAGCCCCACCTATAACCCTCATGGCTCCTGGTGACTTCCAAGAGGAAGGGACACCGAGGTATTGGGGCACACAGTATTGGGGCACACAGCTGTTTAGCTTGCCCAACAAGTACCATGGCCTGTTCAAAAGCCTCTTGGGCCTTTACATCCCAATTCCATGTAGCACCTCATTTTATTAAATTATACAGGGGATGGGTGACCTGAGCAAGGTGAGGTAAAAAAATTCACCAATACCCTAGAAGTCCCCAAAATACCTGTAACTGTTTAGTGTTTATTGGTATGGGTTATTGTAAGATTTTCTCAACTGCTGTACTGGGTATCATGAGAGTTCTGCCTGACCATAAAACTCCTAAGAATTTCACCACTGTACCGGGCCCTTGTACCTTCTGTGGGTTGATTTTCCTCGCTCCTTCAGGTGCACTTGCATGTTCCCCAAATGAGCTTCCAAATCTGTAAGGCACTCAGAAGTTAGCATTATGTCATCTATGTAGTGGAACCCCCTTACAGAAGGAGGGCAGTGTAACAGGGCCAGGACCCAGGCCACCATCCCATGACAAACCGTGGGGCTGTGGAGGTAACCTTGGGGAAGAACTCTGAAAGTCCCTTATCATCCATTCCATGTGAATGCAAATTGATCTTGGGATTCAGCAGCTAAGGGAATACTAAACAATGCATTAGCAAGGTCCACCACAGTGTGAAAGGACCCCATTTCCTGCACCACCTGATCAACAGTGCAATGTTGGGCACAGCTGAATAAATGGGAGGCACCACCTTATTTAACTCCTGGTAATCTACACTCATTCTCCAGGAGCCATCTGGCTTCCTGATGAGCCAAACAGGGCTATTGAAAGGGTTCTGGGCTGGGCAGATAACCTCTACTCACTCTAGTTCCTGGATGGTTTCGGTAATTTCATCTTGACCCCAAGGCAGCTGGTTTGATATTCACCACCCTCCATGAGGCAGGCAATTTGACCGGCTCCCAGCTTGCCCACCCCCAAGTAATCGCCTTTACTGTTCATACCCTCAGCTGAAACTCTCCCATAGTAGTATGTAGGGTGTGACCCAGCAGGCCATCCATCCCTAAAATGTTCTCTCAAAGGGGAGAGATACACACCTTGTACTCCTGAGTGGGATAATTGCTCACTCCCAGATTGAGTCTCATCTGCTTTACTTGTGTGGTTTTATCCCCATACCCATCCATTGCTATCCACTGGTCCTGATGTTTTGGGGGATTGCCGTGAATTAATGTACACTCTGCCCCAGTATCCACTAGGGCCCATGTGTTTTGTAAATTAGTGGGGTACCAATAAATCCTCAATTCAACATGTGGCCTCTGGTCACCCAGTATGGCCCTCACCTGTGGGCAACCTTGGCCACCCCTTCAAGGCAGTGGTTGAGGGGTGGGTCCCATTCAATGAGGCTGCCTTCCTCTGGAGCAGGGGGTGCAGTTGGAGTTACTGGCACCTCCTGGTCCCCAGTTTCTTTTACTTCTGTGGTGAATTGCTGGTCAGGTCTTAAAGCCCTCCACAGGCTCACCAGCACAGCATTTGGCTGCCCGTCTATCTTGTCCCTAGAAAATCCTGCTCTGCACAGATCTATCCACATCTGTGCTTGGGAGACACAGAGGGGCCCCTTTGCTGAGCTCTGGCTCTTGTGTCTACTTGCTTTAGCACCTTTCAGAGCCTCACCAACCTCGTTCAGGTCACACCCAACCATGGGGCTCAGCACTGCCACCAAAGCTCCATACCAGTCTGGTGGGTCTTGCTGAATCAGTTTCTTTCTTAAGTCTCCTGTAAACACAGTCCTGTCTGGGCCAGTGAACTGGGCATCAAATACAGATTCCCTCATACCCAGTTCCCTCAATAAAGCCTGTCCTTCCTCAATGGTTTTCCAGTCTCTAGTATTCATGGGAATCTCAGCTGGAGTTACCCACATATCCCGAATGGCTCATATTAGCCAATCCATCATGGACTGGTTTCCCTCGTGTTGCCTTAAATTGTGAAGTCTGTCTCAAAGAGGGATGAGTGGTTATGTTGCTTAACTTCTCTGCTTCTGTAGAACTTAAAATGATTCCATCTGCCCCCATGTCCCATAGCCTCACCAGCCAGGTGGCCAAAGGCTCCTTCATAGCTTGTTTAAATGTCTTTCCCAGTTCTAATAGTTCTGGTACTGAGTATTCTCTGATTACCATAGTCTCCTGCACCGGGCTATTGTTAAGCCCTCCATCAGCATGTTGGACCATGGATTTTCCCTTTCTTTGAATTAAAGGTCAGACCAGAGGAGCATTTCCCACTATCTCTAAGTCACTTCATTCTTCCTCACTACCCGACTCTTCCCAGGGGTTCCAGATTTTGGGATCCTAGGATGGGACTTTTATTGTCATTCTGATCTGGGCTTTTTTTCCCCTTTTGACCTCCTAGACATAAAAAACAGCATGCCAACACCTCCATCTCCTTTTCTCTCTTATCTAATTTACTGGCTAGGTCAGAGGCCAGTAATGAGGAGGCCAGCCTCATAGCCCTCTCCCATTCTAATTCCTTGCTAACACTTTCAGTTTCCCTTCTGGCTAAGTCCTCCACCTGGGACAGATTTCTTATTATCAATAGCAGTGGCCAAGTAGCCTCTGCAGCTGCTTTTTGACATTTCTGTCTCTGGTGGTGCTACTCCCAGAGATTTCAGAATCTGTTCCAGACCTTCTACTGTTTTCAGGGCATCTCCATACTCATGTGGTCAAACAGGAATGCCACCCCATACCATCTACAAGATGGCTGCCACCCTGGGCTCTCTCTCATTGACCTCGACTGTTTAGAGGGCCTCACTCTAGTTACATATCTCACTGTCCACTGCACTAACCATGCCACTGCAGCCACCCCCACCAAGCCTATGGGAATGGCCACCAGGTTAAAGTTTCCTCAGCCCACACTCTCCCCTTACCCCACTTTACTTCAGTTGTGGTCTCTTTCCCCGTATCAGGGACGTCATCAATGCTCTTCCAAAACTCATTCTCAGTTTCATCGTATCCAGCCAGCTACACCGGTTGTAAGCCAAATGCACAGCTGGGAGGTGCACATGGCATCCAATCCCCTACTCCCACGATCCTTGCAACAACCTGAGAAAAGAATTCTCCAAACCCCGTGTTTGAAGAATCTTAACAAGTTTATTGGACTTATTAACTGAGCTTGGAATGCGAGTTTACTTACAGATGAGAGGGCGTGCCCCCATTATAGCTGTGTTCAAAAGTCCACACCCAGACATAAATTCTGTGGTTCTGGACAGCCTCACAAAAATGGCAAGAGGCCAGCCTCGTGATTTTCCCAGCTTTACACCTTTAGCCCCTCCCCTGAAAGCAGCTATGGTCAACCAACTGGCTGGAAGAGGGAAGGGGAATAACTTCTTTGCAGAGCATGGGAAGGAGGTGGGTTCGTGGCTCATCATCACAGGGTCAGAGGAACATCCAGGTCACAGCCACCAACCAAATCTCTATCTTTTATCCCAACAACAATCTAGTCTGCTGGCTATACTCACACAGTGGTGTTTGAACAAGTGGGAGAAAAGATGGAAATGAGCCTTGGTCCATTGAATCCAAGATTGTCTGCTCCATGGAAGGGACCTAGTGCCTAAATGGAAATGAAAAAGACTTTCAGTACACTAGAGAAGAGACCAAGCTACTTGAAGGCCCTGAGCCTCTAGGAAGCACTGTTTAGGAATATCAATCTACCTGTCTATGCATGTAAAATGTTCAGTCTGGGTTTGGGTAAAAGGCAGGTACATGTCCAAGCCAGATGTGCTAGGGTTCTTAGCAGCACAGTCATGCAACCATGCAGCAGGGGTCAGCAGGGCAGGAGCCAGCACAAACAAGGCTATAGGGCTTCCTAGAGGCTCAGAGTACCTTTGAGCCTGCAGAAGTTATGACTCCTGTCTTTGGCAGCCCTGAGCATTCATAATTTTGCCCATGATCTTTCTTCATACCCCAAGCAGAGTGCCTTCAAGGTACCCTTGAATTTTTAGTGTCTAGCATAGGGAAAAGCCAAAGACATATGTCTAGGAAGTGGGAAGCATAATTAATCTCATTTAACATTCAAGTAGCTTGGTTCCTTCTCTGAGAAGTCTCCTCTGGCCCATTCTGTAGTTGTCCCCATGGTCCTCACTGTGGTCGACATAGCCTTGTACTCTCTGTGTGGAAGCATGCAGGCTGACTCCCCTGAGTGCTTGTCAGTGTTTACATCCTAGGACATCCTTCCTGCTTCATTCACTTTCAGTTTATTTCAACAACTACAGGATTACCAGATCTTATACTTTTATTGGAACTAAGGGTCAGCATCTCCAGACAGTTTTTCTGACTTCCTTATGGATTCCTCTTCCACATAGCTACTGCACATAGGTGGGCCTCTTTGTTCCTAGGCTAGTGTCATCCTTTGAGCATAGGAATCAGAGCAGAGTCACCTCTCTTTGACCGTCTCTTGCTACAGGCCAACACTGATAGACCATAATACCCCTTAGCAAAGAGGCTCACCTTTGAGGCAGAGAGACCCTATTTGGAATTTTGTCTCCACCTCTTAATGGTTTGGTCAAATTATATTCTCACTATTAGCTTTCTCTCAGTAAACTGACCTGCTGAATCCAGAAATAAGGATTTGAACTACCTGATAAAGTTGCCAGGGTAATTACTTGCTTTCAAACCCCTGGAAATCAGGGCATAATGAGCTCCTTAATATCTGATCTGGGCTGACTGCTTGGGAGATCTCCCCGTAGGCCATGCTGTTAGGAAGAAGTAACATTTTTAAGGAATTCATAGAAAGCAGGTGTGGTGGTTTGAATGAAAATGTCCCCATAGGCTCCAAGTGTTTGGACATTTTGTCCCCAGATGATGGCACTGCTTTGGGAGGTTTTAGAAGGTGTGGCTATCCTGGAGGAAGCACGTCTCTGGGGGTGGGCTTAGAGAATTCTTAAGCCTCCCCGGATCTGCCATTGTTCTCTTGCTTCCTGTGCCTTTGTGATAATGTGAGAGCTTAGCTTCTGCTGCTCCTGCTCCAGCCACTTCCAGCCACCATACCTCCCTGTCATGATGGGCTATAATTCCCCTAGAACTGTAGTTCAAATAAATTCTTCTTTCTATAAATTGCTTGGGTCAGTGTTTCTATCACAGCAACAGAAAAGTGATTAATACATGGTCATATTATTTATTTTAAAAAGAACAT